GGCACCCGGTGTGGTCTTCTGCTGCTGTAGCCCATCTGCCTCAAAGTTCGACGTACTGTGCGTTCAGAGATGCTCTTCTGCCCACCTTGGTTGTAACGGGTGGTTATTTGAGTCACTGTTGCCCTTCTATCAGCTCCAACCAGTCTGGCCATTCTCCTCTGACCTCTGGCATCAACAAGGCATTTCCGCCCACAGAACTGCCGCTCACTGGATGTTTTTTCTTTTTCGGACCATTCTCTGTAAACCCTAGAGATGGTTGTGCGTGAAAATCCCAGTAGATCAGCAGTTTCTGAAATACTCAGACCAGCCCTTCTGGCACCAACAATCATGCCACGTTCAAAGTCACTCAAATCCCCTTTCTTCCCCATACTGATGCTCGCTTTGAACTGCAGGAGATTGTCTTGACCATGTCTACATGCCTAAATGCACTGAGTTGCCGCCATGTGATTGGCTGCTTAGAAATTAAGTGTTAATGAGCAGTTGGACAGGTGTACCTAATAAAGTGGCCGGTGAGTGTATATATATATATATATATATATATATATATATATATATATATATATATATATATATATATATATATATATATATATATATATATATATAAAACACAGCAAAATCCTTCTTTACTGTCAAGAGGCTGCAGCAATGTCCCGAATTCCTCGTTTTCCAGCTACATTTGTTGAAATTTACAGTTTCCCATTCTCTTGCTTTTTCTTCGCCTCGACCTTCTTTTCAGAATATATATATATATATAAATATATATATATACATATATATATATCAGAGATGGGAAGTAACGAAGTACAAATACTTTGTTACTGTACTCAAGTAGATTTTTCTGATATTTTTACTTTAATTTACTACTTATTTTTATGGCGACTTTTTACTTCTACTCCTTACATTTTTACACAAATATCTGTACTTTCTACTCCTTACCTTTCAGAAAATTGGCTCGTTACTTTAGTTTTGAATCATTTCAATGGAGTTACCGTTATTATTTTTCACGTCATCAATACCAAATTCAATCTAATTGGATGGGAATCTACGTTGCATTTGACGCACCACTACAAGATGAATCGACAGATTCGGCGGTATTCATTGGCGGCAAATCATTGCAGCTTGGCGGCGGTGGCGTTAGCATAGTAGCATGGACGACGAGATGATTGAAAATGAACACAACGGAGATCTAGTCCTATTGGCAGACATCCATTTAAAATGTAGGCAACGGCATGAAAAAAGTGCTTTCTACTTTTACTTTTATACTTTAAGTAAATTTACAAGCCTGTACTTTGTTACTTTTACTTGAGTAAAGAAGTTTAATCAGTACTTCCACTTTTACCAGAGTATTTTTTAACACAAGTATCTGTACTTTTACTCAAGTACGGAAAGTGAGTACTTTTGCCATCTCTGATATATATATATAGATATATATATATATATTTTTTTTTTCTTTTTTACGCTCAACTGGAAACTGTTCCGCGCAAATAAATCGCAATATAGTATATCTGAAGAAATTGTTTTTATAAACTTTTATATATATATATATATATAAAAAAAAAAACTGTTTTCTCACCCCTCGTGGGGTGGTATGTGTCATCCTCAAGCTCGGGTCCTCTACCAGAGGCCTGGGAGTTTGAGGGTTCTGCGCAGTATCTTAGCTGTTCCTAGGACTGCGCTCTTCTGGACAGAGACCTCTGATGTTTTACCTGGAATCTGCTGTAGCCACTCTCCCAGTTTGGCGGTCACAGTCCCTAGTGCTCCAATTACCACTGGCACCACTGCTGCTCTTACTTTCCACATCTTTTCTAGCTCCTCCTTCAGTCCTTGGTATTTCTCAAGCTTCTCGTGTTCTTTCTTCTTGATGTTGCTGTCGCTTGGGATTGCCACATCTATCACTACTGCCTTCTTCTGCTGTTTGTCGATCAACACGATGTCTGGTTGGTTAGCCATCACCTGTTTGTCAGTCTGGATCTTGAAGTCCCATAGGATCTTAGCTCGGTCATTCTCAACTACCTTAGGAGGTGTCTTCCATTTTGACCTTGGGACTTCCAGCCCATACTCATGGCAGATGTTCCTGTACACTATGACAGCTACCTGGTTGTGGCGTTCCATGTATGCACTTCCTGCCTGCATTTTACACCCCGCTGTTATGTGCTGTATTGTTTCAGGGGCATCTTTGCACAGTCTGCATCGGGGGTCCTGCCTGGAGTGGTAGACCCTGGCCTCTATTGATCTTGTACTGAGTGCCTGTTCTTGTGCTGCCATGATTAGTGCCTCTGTGCTGTCCTTCAGTCCAGCCTTTTCCAGCCACTGGTAGGATTTTTTGATATCAGCCACTTCTTCTATTTGTCTGTGGCATACGCCGTGCAGCGGCTTGTCCCTCCATGATGGTTCTCCTTCCTCTTTCTTGTCCTCACTTTCGGTTTTCTCCTGCCTGAGGTACTCACCAAGCCATTTGTCTTTGGGGGCCATCTTTCTGATGTACTCCTGGATCTTAGTTGTTTCATCCTGGACAGTGGTCTTGACACTCACTAGCCCTCGGCCTCCCTCGCTACGCTTGGTGTACAGTCTCAGAGTGCTGGATTTGGGGTGGAACCCTCCATGCATTGTGAGGAGCTTTCTCGTCTTGATGTCAGTAGCCTCTATCTCCTCCTTTGGCCAGTTTATTATGCCAGCGGGGTATCTGATGACTGGTAGGGCATATGTGTTGATGGCTTGGATCTTGTTTTTCCCATTCAGCTGACTTTTCAGGACCTGCCTTACTCTTTGTAGGTATTTAGCTGTGGCAGTCTTTCTTGCCATCTCCTCGTGGTTTCCGTTAGCCTGTGGCACCCCAAGGTATTTGTAGCTGTCCTGAACATCTGTTATGTGGCCTTCTGGTAGTTCAACCCCCTCGGTTCTGATCATCTTCCCTCTCTTTGAGACCATGCGACCGCACTTGTCCAGTCCGAATGACATCCCAATGTCGTTGCTGTAGATCCTGGTAGTGTGGATCAGTGAGTCGATGTCTCGCTCACTCCTGGCATACAGCTTGATGTCATCCATGTAGAGGAGGTGACTGATGATTGTTCCGCTTCGGAATTGGTATCCGTAGCCAGTCTTTGTGATGATCTGGCTCAGGGGGTTAAGGCCTATGCAGAACAGCAGCGGGGATAGTGCATCGCCTTGGTATATGCCGCACTTGATGGTGACTTGTGCTATTGGCTTTGCATTGGCTTCCAGACTTGTTTTCCACAGCTTCATTGAGTTCTTGATGAAGGCTATTAGAGTCCTGTTGATCTTGTACATTTCCAGGCATTCCAGTATCCATGTATGTGGCATTGAGTCATAGGCTTTCTTATAGTCAATCCAGGCAGTGCACAGATTTGTCTGCCTGGTCTTACAGTCTCGGGTGACTGCTCTATCCACTAGTAGCTGGTGCTTGGCTCCTCTGGTGTTGCTTCCTATTCCCTTCTGGGCAGGGTGCATGTATTGAGCCATGTGCCTATTCATCTTAGCCGCTATGATGCCTGACAGGAGCTTCCATGTTGTACATAGGCAAGTTATTGGCCGGTAGTTGGATGGGGTTGTTCCCTTCTGCGGATCCTTCATGATCAGGATTGTCCGTCCTTGGGTTAGCCATTCTGGGTGGGTCCCATCCATCAGCAGTTGGTTCATTTGTGCTGCGAGGCGTGCATGAAGTGCGGTTAGTTTTTTCAGCCAGTAGGTGTGGATCATGTCAGGGCCTGGTGCTGTCCAGCTCTTCATACCTGCCGCTCTTTCTTGGACATCTGCCGTTGTAATGGTTACTGGTTCTTGTTCTGGGAGATTGCTGTGATCTGTTCTTAGATCTTCCAGCCACTGAGCATTGGTGTTGTGGGATGCCTCCTTCTCCCATATGTTTCTCCAGTACTGTTCAGTCTCAGCCCTGGGTGGATCTGATCTTGAATTACCCTGCCACTGTGAGTACACTATATATATATATATATATATATATATATATATATATATATATATATATATATATATATATATATATATATATATATATATATATATATATATATATATATATATATATATATATAAATATATATATATATATCAAGTATTTTAAATGCCATGATAATCACATTTTATTAATTTTAATGCAAATTAAGGCCTTAATTTAAAAAATGATAATTTAATTTCTTTTAAATAATCTTTAATAACCCGCGGAAAATTCCTGTTATAGAAGCACTTTTGTCATTTTTCTTTCGTTTTTGCCATTGAAATATCCTAAATATTTTTGAATTTTGCCACTCAGTGGCACAGTGGGTAGCACTGCTGCCTTGAAGCAAGAAGGTTCTTGGTTCGATTCCTGGCCCAGGGTCTTTCTGCATGGAGTGTTCATGTTCTCCCTGAGCATGCGTGGGTTCTCTCCAGGTACTCCGGCTTCCTCCCACAGTCCAAAGACATGACTGTTAGGTTAATAGGCTTCTCTAAATTGTCCTTAGGTGTGAGTATGTGTGTGGATGGTTGTTTGTCCTGTGTGTCTCTGTGATGAACTGGTCCAAGGTGTACCCTGCCTCTTGCCTATTGACTGCTAGAGATAGGCACCAGCACCCCTCATGACCCCAATTGGGACAAGCGTGTAAGAGAATGGATGGATGGATGTTACAAAGGCAATAAGGTCTTGTCCTGGATTCAAATTACCCTATTGGCTTAAAATTTTGATTTTCAAAGTATTTCACTGAGGTCCCTATAAAGGGTTAAAAGAAAACAAAAGCTGTGGATAGTTATAGAATACTCTACAGCAGTGAGAAAGAAAAACAATAACAAACAGCAGACATGGTCATTGTCTGCTGTTTGTCACACTTTAAAATGACAGAATATTTCTGTAAAGTAAAATGAAATCCATGGTGACGGATTTAACCCCTTCATCACCTCCACTTACACCTATCTAAATGTATTAAATGATATGCAAATGACTTAAGAATGATGTTTGCTATTATAAAATGTTCTTCAACATCCAACAGTTTCAAAAGCCACAGGAGCAGTATCCTCCGTTCCGCTTTGGTACGGTCCCAAATGGCAGCACGGAGCGAAACATAAGGAGTAACTACCCCGAGATGCACTCCCACATGGTCAAATACAATCAAAAAGGAGTGGAAGACGCCCTTAACAGCCTTAAAACAGGGTAGGTCTCTGCAAACAGTCATACGCACACATTGTGGCAGTGGAATCGGAGCCAATCAGCTAAATTATTTGTGTGATCTCTTTTACAATGTTAGGAAACTGGATGCCTTTATCTATGATGCTGCTGTGCTGAATTACATGGCTGGCAAAGACGAAGGATGTAAACTGGTAACCATTGGCAGTGGGAAAGTGTTTGCAACGACTGGTTATGGCATTGCTCTGCAGAAGGATTCCCGCTGGAAACGGCCCATCGACCTGGCCCTGCTGCAGTTCCTTGCTGATGGTATCTGCTGTGCATTCATAAACCTGAACTAACAAAGTCATGATGCGTCACAATAATACAATAAAATCTAATAATATCATAGAAAATCAATAGCTAGCATGTTCCAGGGTAAATATTTATATATAACAAAAACTCCACAAAGAAGGAGTTGATCTGAAGGACTGGCCACAGATGCAAGTCAATAAAATTAATCTGGAGTTGATTTGTTCACTTTAACAATAACAGAAGCAGAGTGACCTTGAGGTGAACATATCACAGACTGCAGGAGAAATACAAAAAGATGCCTAATAGATAAATGTCAAACTGTATGGAGGACCAATCCTGCCATGATTAAAAATACATACAGAAATAAATAAAGGACTTAATCATAAAAAATTGCTTGAAAAAGTAGCTAATAATATGAATTTGTGTGCCATTAAATGTGACAAAATTATAAAAATAAGATATTTTTTCAACATTTGATCAACAATTGACCAAATCCAAGCCCGCGCGCTCATGCTCAGTAGCGGTTTTGGGTAGCTAGACCTTGGCCAATAATTGTGAAGCTTTGCCGTTGACGCCGCCAATCTCCTCCTTCCATCGTTTTAACATTACTGCTGCAGTCAGACGACCAGGTGGAAATAGACAAGGTGGAAAAAGGGGCGGAGAAAACAAAAAATGGAAGACAAAAATACTTTGGGTAAAAAAATCTGTTAGAAAAATTCGAGCCAGAAATGACTCATTGTTTCAGAAATAGAAGGAAGTTAAAATAAAATGAAAATAAATATTTATGGTGGAGTAAAAACCTCCTTTAAAAGCAAAAATAAAAAGACTTTTTTTTTTATTTTGGTGTGAATAAATATGAAACAATAAAAAAAGTTGCGTTGGAAATATGGAACAAAAAACCCCAAAATAAAGACTTCAAAAAATGTATAACAGAAAATAAGTGGGTTAAAAATCAGAAATTCCAGAAGAAAAGTAAGAATAAAAGTGGAAGTTAAAATATATATTTTTAGATAATCTTTTATTTTGTCACATTTAATGGCACATAAATTCATATTATTAGCTACTTTTTCAAGTAATTTTATATTAAGTCCTTCATTTATTTCTGTATGTATTTTTAATTCTGGCAGGATTGGTCCTCCATATTGTCACAGAGATGATTGTATGTAACTTAAACCTCTTATTCCCCCCACAGGTGACACACAGAAGCTGCAAACTGTGTGGCTCACAGGCATCTGTCGTAACGAAAAGAAGGAGGTCATGAGCAGTAAGCTCGATATTGACAACATGGCTGGGGTCTTTTACATGCTGCTGGTTGCTATGGGCCTCAGTCTGCTGGTGTTTGCTTGGGAACATCTGCTCTACTGGAAACTTCGGCATTCGGTTCGCAAATCCGAGCGACTGGACTTCCTACTAGCTATCAGCAGAGTAAGTAAAATTAACTCTGACATGGAAGATATTGTTAAAACATGGAGAAGCACCACCTGGGATTTTCTGGTAGATTTTATTTTACTGTTTTCTAAGTTTCATGATGGAGGTAATAGCTTTGAATTATGGGTGAGACAATATGAAAATCTGTACCAACATCAATATGAAACGGTGAAACGGGGTATTTTTTTGGAAATTAAAGTCGTAAGGGAGTGACACACTGAAAAAACGACCTAGAAATAAGTAAAAATTTCTCAAATTAAGTGTATTTACCCTGAATTTGAGTAGGTAAATGAGGATGTTTGCCAATGAAATTAGTATTTTTACTCTTAAAATAGGATAATTAGATAATATGCACTTGAAATAAGACAATGCAATTGTGTTTTCTTATTTTAAATGTAAATTGTCTGGCTTAAAGGAATAGTACACCCAAAACATGATTAGCCTTCATTTTCTACTCACCCCCATGCTGAACAACACTCTGGAGTACTTTTTTGATATCTCAAATGCATCTGGAGATCTGGGAGGCTTCTTGCTGTCTGCTGACATTCAAATAATGGAGGTCTATGGCGCCCGAGGCAGAAAGGTCCATAAAAGTCCACAAAAAACGTGTCAACTACTGTTTATGCTCTAAAAACATTCTAAATGACTTCGTTTCGAGTAAATTCTGGACGCTACCCACTCAGGACACTTGGAATACATTGGACGAGCAGTATGGAGGAATATTGACACGTTTTTTGTGGACTTTTATGGACATTTCTGCCTCGGGCGCCATAGACCTCCATTATTTGAATGTCAGCAGACAGCAAGAAGCCTCCCAGATCTCCAGATGCATTTGAGATATCAGAAAAGTACTCCAGAGTGTTGTTCAGCATGGGGGTGAGTAGAAAATGAAGGCTAATCATGCTAATCAGGTGTACTATTCCTTTAAACATATATATATAAATATACTCTTTATCAGACGATATTGTCCCAAAAGTTAGAAAAATTCTATTCTTATAAAAATCCTGTCTTAAAATCAGTGTTGTTGTTTTTTTCGTTATTTTGTGCAGGCCAGTTAGTTCTACGTCAGCCTGAACACCTAAATTAAGCCAATCAAATATCAATCATTATCGACCCCCATGACCCATTCATCGGTTACCATTTGCATGTTTCCAAGCGTTACAAGGCTTTGTCTATATAAGACTCAAACTCACTGCGGATCCAGACATTTGAACTGAGAAAGCTTCCTGGAGAGGTGGAGAAGCGTCTTCAAATCTTGGAAACCAAGTCCAGTGGATATTTTTTGAATTCTTGTTTCATGTGATGTGAATTGGCGCTATATAAATAAACTGAATTCAATTGAATTAATATAAGCCAGTTTGATCTTATCAGAGTTAAAAATGTGCGGATGCGCGATGTGTCAGCATCAGCTGCTACATCATGAATCCTTACTTAAATGAATAAATAAACAGATTATCAAAAAACCATGAAAAAGTGTGTTTGTAAAATTTTTTTTAGACAATTCAAAGATACTTTTTAGTTAAGATTAGCCAATGTAAACAACGAGGAAACAATTCTATGATTCTAAAACAAATGTTTGTTGGGTCTGTGTTAGGATTTTCTACCTTCATGCAATATTTAAACATTACGCTCACCAAAACTAACAAACTCCGAAGGTACAATTAAAAGAAAAAACATTTAAATGCATAAGTAGATCAAATGATTCTGTAATAATAGTAATTTGAGGATAAAAACAAACAAAAATATGAAACTACCTTGCTGGGGAAAGAGACTTTAATAGGTATTTGGGGAAAGAAAGAGATGGTCATGATCCTTTAGAAAGTGAATTTAAATAACTCCATTAAAAAGCTTCATCTCTGTATCAGCTCTGGTCAAAGGCGAGATTCTGCAGTCTGAAGCAAACCATGATTTGAATGGGAAATAAAGATGTTGGGGTAAATTGAAAAACTAATATGCATGATCAGCAACTATCGTATTTATAGGACTGCCTTTCAATCACAGTTACACAGCTTTAAAAGACAAACAAGAATAAATATTTATATTAAAAGCACTTCACCTAATCCACTCAGTTAACCTGACTCCGCCAGATGGATTTGCTCCGCATATCCATCTGGAAACCTTCCGTTGAAGTAATTTTGGGGAGGGGCGAAAATACTGGTTAGCTGATTGGCCTATGTTGGTGATAGACTGGCCAAATAAACCAATCAGATCAACGAAGCATATGACGTACTAACAGAGCGACGACGAAGAGGAGCCAATTGATAGATCAAACTCTTGCCGAAACCAGTCGGGAGAAGAGCAAAAACATCTTTTCCTCTGAGAAAAGCCTCCAGAGCAGTGTTTTGCTCTTCCTTCAGTGAAGAAATACTCTGTAATTCCAATAAAACTTGCTCGATAGCCACGCTAACGCTAGTTTCATCGGCTGAAGCCGCCATGTTCTTTAGACTGAACTGTCGCGCTTCTCGTTGCGTCACACCTCAACCCGCCTCAAAGCCAACGCTGATTGGACGTTCGTTGGGTGAACGGCTCCAAATTTTCTTTAACGGAGAGTCTCCAGACTGATTAGCGAGTGAAACCTTGAAAACTCGCAAGATCAGGATGGTCTCAAGAGGCTACCACTCAGTGTCTTCATGGGAGTTTTTTCTTAAATGGCTAAATAATCTGTGATAGAAACATTATCAGGGGCTCAGCAGAGAACAGGCTCGTTCTGGTGAAGGTTGTAATTTCCCCTTCCTGTTTATTTACAGGGCATCTACAGCTGCTTCAATGGAGTAGAGCAATCTGACCACAATGGAAGCCTGCAAAGTCCAGACATCACCACTAACTACACACAAGCCAATATGCTGAAGATGCTGAGGACGGCCAAAGACATGGTGTCCTCCGCCAGAGTCGAGAACTCTCTGGACAGTGCCACTAAAACAATAGAAAGCTGGAGCAGACGTGGAGCCGACAACGTGCGAGCTGGCCTTCCTCCCAGAGTTACAACCACAGATGTAACCCACGGCCGTCTGCCCTACATCTCCAGTATAACGGACAATCACTCCCCATATCCTCAGAGGGCCATTACGCCAACATTCCCAGTTCATTACGGGGATACGTCAACCCAGCCGCTCCTTGAGAAGGCCAGGGTGGTAACCCGACCCACGCCTCTGCGGTACACGCTGCCCGCCCGCGGCAGTCAGCACCTGTTAGAGAGAACTCTGCCCATCTCCAGCCTCAGCAGCCCACACATCGCCATCAGAGATCCAGTTCCCTCTGGGATTTCTAACCCCCACCACAGCAGCAGGCTGTATGTGGAGAACCAAAGCCGGCACCCCGCATCCCCGTTTGTGACTTACAGGGAGTTCCAGGTACCTGACATTTACATGGAGCACAGGGGACCCCTACGGAGAAAGTTTAGCTACCCCCCAGACTGCGCGAGCCGGAGAAGGAGGTCATTCAGTTATCTGTTTAATAACCCAGAACCCAGAGTGAGAGTTGACTATGATGAACCTCGGTCCTGCTTTGCTGAGCTGAGAGCTAATCACCTCCTGAACAACCAGGGCCCTGATGGTGTGGCTACGACATGCCCTGCAGGACACTACCCCGGCACCAGCACGACCTGCAACTCCTGTATGAAGTCCTACCTGGAGCCAGAGATGGACGACATCCCCCTTTTGGGAAAGGACAAATTAAATCGACGAGCCTCGTTTCTCAGAGCCACGTGGGACAATGAGAGAATCCGTCAGGTAGATGAAACAAAGCCCTCCACATCCACAGCTCCCTCCACCCGAACAGATATTCCCGATTTATTCCATCAGGGGGCTGGGCCCAATCCAAAGCCTCACAAGCTATACGGCAGTCTGGGGCACAACCTCTCCTGTTACCCCCTGGCCGCTGAGCCGGCCTACTTAGACCCAGCCCATATGGGTTCCTACCCCTACAAGCAGAAGATAAAGTACGCCGACTCTACCCGACTGCCCTCATACAGGGAAGCCATGTTGCAGAATGCTGCTGCCCTCCGCCGCTCCTCTTCCACAGTGGTGCACAGACATTACTCCACCTACCTGAACTCGTACACAGACTTACCGGTGTATGTGGGGCCACTCACACAGGGACCATCCCAGCTCTACAACAATTCAAAGGACATGTGCCACTTGTTTCCGTGCACCAGCCACTGCCCTGACAACGCAGCAATGCTCCCTCGAATGAGTGACAGGCAGCTGGTTTACCACAACAACATGTTTGGGCCTTATGATGTCAGAGGAAATAGGGAGGACTTGGGCTCGGGGAGCCGAGAACGGAGGCAGGTGCTGGTGGCGCGAAGAGTCAACAGTCCCTATGTGCCAAAGCCCTGGGGCAGAGTGTCCAGCCTGGAATCCGAGGTCTGAACACGCTCTCTTTATTCGACCTCTTCTAGGTCCACTGACTAGATTCCCTCTGGGAAGGAAAATGTCCGGAGGTTCTTCCTTAAGCAAAAACGAAACCCTACTCCAACAGTGTACTTGAGAGGTTCCTCTCAATTATCAGTGCAATAATATCTTGAGCAGCAAAAAGGAGAAGTAAACCCTGGAGGGGGTAAGTTATCGCTGGGACTTTGTGAGAAAGACATTGAATCTCTTAAAAAAAATAAAATGGAATATTGAAACATATTTAATGGATAAGAATTTAACCTGTGACTGGTTGTTAAAAAGATTTTAACAGTTTCTCAGTGAAATATTGTTGGGAGACAATATACTACAGCCTCTCCGATTCCCCAAACATTACAACATTGGATAATTTTTTTTTTCCAACATCATTCCACTATCCACAATGTCTGAAGGCAAAATATAAATATAATTTTGTCAATCAAGCACCGATATGTCTTCCGTACATTTTCTAAGTCTACAACAAGGGGTGCATCAAGACTAGATGTAATAATGCTGCACTTTTAAAGCAAGGGAAAAGCATATTAAGTATCATGTGTATTTCCATTGATAACATACCCTTTAATAAACAAAAATGTTTAAAAAAAAAGCCATTTGGATGCCTCTTTAATTTACAGATATTCTCCTCTTCCCATCACACTGAATAAAGGGTTTTAGAGGAGAACCTTTGCAGAACAACAAGTACTTCACAACAATCCACCAAGAAATTTTGTCCAAAATCTACACAAATCACACTGCTGAGCTACTATTTTAGTAGCCTGGGTGCCATTCCGAACTTAGTCCCGCCCACAACGTTTGAGGTCGGGAAGTTCGGTCTGGCATTGCTCAATCGGTCTCCGCCAGTCACGTTACATTTGTTGCTAAGACGCCATTTTAGGTGGAAAAGGCGTAGTGTAAACAACCGCAGCATAGCTAAACGAAGGACTAAAGGCCCGTTTACATAGCAGCCTGTCCAAGATAATTCATTACAGTTAACATGAGCCTGAAAGCAGGGGCGGATTTAGGAAAATCGGTCTCCGCCAGTCATGTGACATTTGTTGCTAAGACGCCATTTTAGATGGAAAGGGGGGTAGTGTACCGCGCCCGAGGTAAACAATTGACGTCACTTGGCGGAGACCGATAGTAGCGCGAGTATGCTCGCACAATATCTGGCGGGCCAATCAAATTGTCAGGGCGGGCTTTATGCGATGATAGACAGATGATCAACAGTAACGTAATCAACCACGTCACCAAAGTGCGCTTGGGTGACAACAACAATGGCTGCCGCTGGAGAGTTGAGGTGAGTAGATTCTGCTATTAGGTCTGTTCTAGAAGATATCGACAGCAAATTAATTTTAAAAGAGGAACAGAGAAACGGAGGCGGGACACAGTCCAATCACTAGCACTAGCTGGAGGGAGAAACACAGGTATGTGACTACAATAATCGGACAGGGGATGATTTTCCATGTGAGGCACTTACCTGGTTTAACAGATCATCTGATAGACCGCCGAACTGGATCCAGGGCAGAGCCATCCAGGGTGTCCCCGATCTATGCAGCGACCACAGAGAGCTGACAAGAGACTGATCCAGATCAGAACCGGACGGTTCTGAGAACCAGGAGTCCTTAGCTCAATTAGGAGTTCCAATCCACACAGGAACAGACAGAAAGGGTTCCAGGAATCCACAGAGCATCCAGGCCGGTTCTCAGTTCCAGAGAGTCCAGCAACATGTTCACAGAGACACGCTAAGATGCAGATAGGCAGGCTTAATGGTTAAAGGACAGATACAAGACTTGGAACCAGGATTTCTGCAAGACTTTAAACTGCTCTCCTCCTAGGAGCCACACAGGAACAGACAGAAAGGGTTCTAGGAATCCACAGAGCATCCAGGCCGGTTCCCAGTTCCAGAGAGTCCAGCAACATGTTCACAGAGACACGCTAAGATGCAGATAGGCAATGGTTGAAGGACAGATACAAGACTTGGAACAAGGATTTCTGCAAGACGTTAAACTGCTCTCCTCCTAGGAGCCAGGCTTACAGGAATAAAACTGATCCACTCCGTGTTCTGAGCCAAAACCCTGAGGACCAGAGCACGATCAGGAGACAAGACAAACACAAAAACACTCTCAATCTGCTGGCTGCCAAGAACTGAGACATGAACCATGAAATAAACTAAACAAAGCAGACAAATTAGCAGGCATAGACAAACAGACAATGATCTGGCCCTGATAGCTGGACTGGGCCGAATATAAAGCAGAAGGTACAGGTGGATGGGATCTGAGATGATTAGAGACCAGGCAGAACAAAGCAGGTGAATGATATAAACAATTAAGGCTAGCTATCAGTGCAGATCGTGACAATAGCCTAACATTTTCCCACTTTAATGATGCGTTCATACCGGAGCCGGTGAACGTGGAGATTTCAACGAGCCTGCATTTCAGATGCAGTGTTTACACCTCGGGGCCGCATCATCTTCTGTAATCATGTTCTTATGAAAGTTATAAAGACAATATAAATATCAGTAAAAGTCAGGTCCAGCTTCTCAAGCTATTTAAATATTGGTTATCTGCCAGAAAACTAATCATTGCACCATTACTGAAAATCTTTATGGAAAACACACAAAACAAAAACCAAAAGGTGACAAAAGTATCATTAGGTATCATTAAATGAACGTTGGTATTCAGGATAAACAACCGATTAAATCGGTCAGCATCTATCTAGGCACTTGTTCAGATTATGTCATTTCGAATGTAGGTGGAATAATAATCTGACCAGCACATGTCGAGGAAGCAGCAGCTGAGTTTGAAGGTTAATTTCCTCTTGAAACTGATCCTTTCTGCATAAAATCTGGTGCAAGAAAAAAAATTTATGTTCAGATTGTTTGATTTTTAACCCATGCAAATTATGTACTCTGGATTTTTGCTCCATACCTGAACACATTTTCGTCTGAACATCACATTTTGTATAAAGCAAACCGAAAGCGAAAAAAAAAAACCCACTAGACTCCAGACAGCTTGGCTTCAGGCCTCTCTATTTCATCTCCTGACCTTGAATTATAAATAAAAATGGAGACAAAAAAGTTTTATCTGAAATGAGGACTTTGGAGCCCTGAGCCTCAGTCCAGTTGTTTTTCTCCATAGTCTGGGAAAAACCCTTCTGTCATCTCAGGTTTAGCAGCAGCTCAACACAAACAGTGTGAATGAGGCATGGGAATCTCTCGCAAACTGGAGATTTGCTTCACAATCCTCTAAAAGCTTTAGTTATCCCTGTCACCTCTGCACCTTGTTTTCTAGCACACCTTTACTTTCCCTCCTAAGAACCAGCTTCTCTGATAATAGCCTTTTAGGGCTTCACTGGGTAAAGTTTACCCCTCCTAACGTTAAAGCAGTTGTTTTCAAACTTGATCCATGTGACCCAAAGTGCCACACCTGCATCTAATGATTGCTCTCCCTTTTTAGCAGCCACAAGGAGCTGCAGGGACCTGCCAATAACCGGTTTAAGTCAGGTGTATGGAAGTAGGGAAATACCTAAAACATGCAAGACGGTGGTTCCTACCTAACCTGACTCCGCCAGATGGATTTGCTCCGCATATCCATCTGGAAACCTTCCGTTGAAGTAATTTTGGGAAGGGGAGAAAATACTGGTTAGCTGATTGGCCTATGTTGGTGATAGACGGGCCAAATAAACCAATCAGATCAACGAAGCATATGATGTACTAACAGAGCGATGACAAAAACACAACCGCAAGCCACGCTACTCTTGCCAAAACCAGTCAGGAGAAGAGCAAAAACATCTTTTCCTCTGAGAAAAGCCTCCAGAGCAGTGTTTTGCTCTTCTTTCAGTGAAGAAATACTCTGTAATTCCGATAAAACTTTATCGATAGCCACGCTAACTCTAGTTTCATCGGCTGAAGCCGCCATGTTCTTTAGACTGAGCTGTCGCGCTTCTCGTTGCGTCACACCTCAACCCGCCTCAAAGCCAACGCTGATTGGACGTTCGTTTGGTGAACGGCTCCAAATTTTCTTTAACGGAGAGTCTCCAGACTGATCTGCGACTGAAACCTTGAAAGCTCGCGAGATCAGGATGGTTTCACGAGGCTAGTTCCTAACCACTTTAAAGGAAAATTCCGGTCAGCAAGGAATAATCAATGGATCATTATCTATACCAAAAACTAAAACGTTTGCAGTGATTTAATGACTTTAGCGTTAATCAGTAAAAATTAAAAAATATTTTTCTTAGCGATCAGAGTCTGGCAGCGGCCATTTTCCCCAAAATATAGTAGCCCCTCCCTCCTGCCATCTTCTAGCAGTGACGTCACAGTGCGGTAAGCCTAGCGCCATTCTCCCCGCTTTCCAAGCTAAATCAATGGGAACTACTAGACACATCTGCAATCAACAACAATTATTGAAGATTTCCAGAGGACTTCACCATTGAAATTCACCAGAGCTATAGTGAAACTGACAATGCCCACATGCATGGCAGCTGGATGCTGGAATACATCGGGTAAAAGAGAAAAAAAAAAAGTTATTCCACGTTTCTGATTCCTGATCCTCCACGGACGGGTTGGTCGTTGGATCGCCAACTTGAAGAGGGAGGATTTGCCATCGAACTTCTGGCCAGAGAAAAAACCCGTAATATGTAGCCGACATTTGGAAGAAGAATGTTTTCAAGATGACTTGGATAATAGCGCGTTGTGACAAACACCAGGTGCAGATACTCACACTGAGCCTGGTTCTGCTGGAGGTTTCTTCCTGTTCAAAGGGAGATTTTCCTCTCCACTGTCGCTACAAGCATGCTTAGTGTGAGGGATTGTCCTTGATAATGGGTTTTCCTTAGATAAAAAACTTTGAATGAATCTGTTAAACTGTAAAGTGCCTTGAGATGACGTGTGTTGTGAATTGGTGCTATAGAAAGAAACTGAATTGAAAAATCGAATTAATGTACTTAGATGTAATGATCGCACATAATATATGTTCCTTATCAGGTTATATACTTTGGGAATGAGAACTTGAGATTGCAAATTTAAGGACAACTGCTTCTACACATTGTGGGCTCAGAGGCATCTGAGAGTAACCATCAATGAAAACGTGGACTTTGGTCTTACAGTGTGCTCCAGATGGAAGACAAGGATCCACATCATTTATTTAGTCTTTTATAGAGGTGGGTAGAGTAGCCTAAACCTGTACTGAAGTAAAGGCAGCACAACTTCATCAGGATTTCACTTAATTAAAAGTGAGAAAGTGCTATCCAAGAAGTAAGGGTAAAAACGCTTCTCAGGTAGCTAAGATAAGATAGACTTTATTGATCTCACAGTGAAAAAATTAGCTTGTCACATCGGCTCAATAGTCAAAAAGAAGATGCCAAAAGGAGGAAAAGGCACATGGGATATAAAAGGGCTTCCAGATATATACAGTGAATAGAGAAAAAAAAACAAGAAACAGGACAGAGATTTAAGGTAACTTATTTGCTGCAAAAAATAAAAATTGAAATAAGTCATTTTATCTTGAATTAAGGAGGAAAGTGAGACATTTTGCTAATGGAACAAGACAATTTACATTTAAAATAAGAAAAAAAAACAATTGCATTGTTTTAATTCAAGTGCATATAATCTAACTATCTTATTTTAAGAGTGAAAATACTTCCATTGGCAAACTATCTCATTTACCTGCTCAAATTAAGGGTAAATACACTTAATTTAAAGAAATGTTTACTAATTTTCATTTTCCAGTGTGTGCATTTAAGGTGACTTATACACATATGGATTTGGAGTTCTGCATTAAAGTGCTACCAGGTAAGGAACAACAGTGAGGTGGTGAGATACCTATAACTGCTGAAGTCTCTTATTTAACAGGCTTACTGCAAAGGTTATTGCACAGGGTATTAAATAGCAATTGCACATTATTGATTGCACAAGTTATTGCAGTTATACTGCTGCATTGTAAAGTCTGATGGCAGCAGGTGGGAATGTTCTGCGGTAGAGCTCCTTTTTACAAACAGGGTGTAAAAGTCTTTCACTAAAGGAGCTGCTGGGCTCCTCTACAGTCTGGTGCAGAGTGTGGAAGGGGGTGTCCATGATGGATGGAAGTGTGACTCGCAAAGGGGGGAACTTCTTCAACAAGATGCACCAGAATACAGAATAGTCTGCAATATTTTATCACACAAATCATTAAAACATTTCTTTGTGTTAAAACGTGGCTTTAGGCCTGCTACTCGGTCCCTGGAAAGAAAAGGGATCATAGGAAATAAGGGCAATTTAAATTATTCCGAAAAAACCTGTGAACAAACAAAACATGCAATGCAAAAGAAAACAAATTAGTAAATCAAAACAAAAGCAAACACATTAGCAAGTTCAATAATAAGCAAACATGGCAGCGAGACGTTTGTTAACTCCAGCGTCCTCCAGCTTCCCCCTCGGCAGAACCAGTCTGATGGTGTTGAAAACGCTGTAGAAGTCAAAGATCATGACTCTCACAGCGCCCCCGGTGGTCTCCAGGTGGGTGAGCGCTCGATGCAGCAGGTTGATGATGGTAGCCTGGGTGCCATTCCGAACTTAGTCCCGCCCACAACGTTTGAGGTCGGGAAGTTCGGTCTGGCATTGCTCAATAGTAGCGCAAGTATGCTCGCACAATATCTGGCGGGCCAATCAAATTGTCAGGGCGGGCTTTATACGATGATGGATAGATGATCAACAGTAACGTAATCAACCACGTGACCAAAGCGCGTTTGGGTGACAACAACAATGGCTGCCGCCGGAGAGTTGAGGTGAGTAGATTCTGCTATTAGGTCTGTTCTAGAAGATATTGACAGCAAATTAATTTTAAAAGAGGAACAGAGAAACGCGATCAAGGCTCATCTTCTTATTCTAGGCGTGCAACTGCACGCTTTGATTTTTGTTGACAACAACTGTGCCTCGCTTAACATACGTCACGCACTCCGTTGCTCTTATTGGTTGTAGGTCTATCCAATTGAGTGCAGAGGCATTTTTTTTCCTGGTTCGTTCAAAACACGCCCCATAATCACAGCTCTATGGAGCAGCATCAGACTCATTCTGACTAGAACTGAGTAGGACTACGTCAGGCTAAGATGAAGGCATCCTCCACTCCAATGTTGGGCCTGTAACCAAACAGCAGCAGGTCCAGGGCGGGGCTCACCACGGTGTGTGGGGGAGCTAAGATGAGGCGCTCCATGGTCTTCATCAGGTGGGAGGTCAGGGTGACTGGTCTAAAGTGGGCCTTGGCGTTCAGCGTTTTGGGAACTGGTACCACACAGGAGGTCCACCACAAAGTGGGGACCACCCCCAGGCTGAGGCTCAGATTGTAGATGTAACTGAGGACCCACACTGGAAAAACGATCTAGAAATAAGGAAAAACTTCTTGAATAAAGTGTATTTACCCTTAATTTGAGTATGTAAATGAGATAGTTTGCCAATGGAATGAATTTTTGTACTCTTAAAATAAGATAAATAGATAATATGCCCTTGAAATAAGACAACGCAGTTGTGTTTTATTATTTTAAGTGTAAATTTTCTTGTTCCATCGGCAAAATTCCTCTTTTACCTCCTCAATCAAAGACCAAATGCACTTATTTTAAGAAAAAATGACTTATATAGATTTTGATTTTTTCCAGTGCAGAGCTCATCTGCAAAGGTCCTCTGCAGTCTTGGGGGGCTGCCTTCCGGTCCGGAGGCCCTGCTGCTCCTCTGCCTAAAGCTGTAGCTGATCTGCTTTTTATATCAACTGATTTGATACTTCAAAAATGATGGAAAGTTGCATAATATATAAATTCTGGTGTTTCAAATATGAAAATAAAACGCTCACGATCAATAGTTGATGTATGTTAGAATAGGGAACGTTACAGTAGTAGATGAAAAAATATATATATACATATACATCCATAAAACCAAAGAACAAATAAGAAGTAGGGCTGTTTCTTTCTAGCCCATTTTTGCCCAAAACAAGTTACAATTGAAGTTAAAAAGGTTAAAGTAGCCAGAAATGTATTCAAAAGTAGTGCTAATTTATTATATTTTCACTTCAATAGTAAATCTCAACCTAAAAATATATAATTTTCAAAAGTTACTCAATTAAATGTAACTGAGTAAATGTAAAAAGTTACTTCTGTTCCTTTTTTGATGTATTTCAATTGGAAAAACTCACACGGAAAGAAAAGACAATTAGAAGAATTTTATTGATAAAATTGCTTTAGTCTTTGGCGCTCAGACCTCGGCAGGAAACATAGCGCTGAATTTGGTTTGATACGCAGGAATGAATGATATGGATGTTTCCCTCCAGGCCTGAAACTGGTGGTGGAGTGGAGATGATGAAGTTGGTCAGTCTGTAGACTGCTCGCACGATATGCTTGAGCTTTATGGAGAGACTGTGTGAGCTGATACTAGAGCTTCACTCAGGAACCTGGAAGATGGAAGCAGATGAGCAAGCATGTAGCGACAGTGGAGAGGAAAAACTCCCCTTTGGGAAGAAACCTCGGGCAGAACCAGGCTCAACATAGTGGTCTTCTGTCGGCCTCATTGAGATGCGACAGGGAACGCAGTAAGAGTCCAGGAGGAATGAAACTCTGATGAAGCTTTAGGGGGTATTCTTTATTTTTTATTTAACCTTTATTTAACCAGGAAGTCCCTTGAGATTGAAATCTCTTTTTCGAGGGAGACCTGGCCAAGACGGCACACCGGTTAAAAATTTCTTCAGTCAAACTTCTGCCTAGGCTCCATTTCCAAACATCTGACCAGCAGAAACATAGAATCTCTTACTCTTCATTTATTAAAATGTCACAATGGTAAAAAATATTCAATCCTGAAAAAGTGAGCTTAAAATAAATATGTATCTATAAATCTATTGCTTCCTATAAGACATGGCAACACACATAAAGACATAATTACCCAGACACAATCATGCTGGAAAGCTTAATCAGCTGTAATGTAGTTTGTGGCTTGTAAATATCCATGTTGGCTCAGACACAGGCAGCGGTGCAGCAATGAGACCCTTCCATGTTCTGTGCTGCTCTCTGAGACCTGCAGAGCTGATGGGAGCCCCGGCTGATTGCAGCAAGGATGATAAATGAGTCTGCACAGGCGGATAAAATATGAGCGACAATGTGCTGTCCAACATCCAAAATATCAACAGACATTTAGCCTGATGCTGTCCCACGCACGGCTGGGAAATCTAATACAATTAGAAAGAACAGCTCGGTTGCCATTTCTTTGGAAATATAGAACAGAATGAATAAATACAAAAAAGACAGGATTTACTGCACCGTATGATTTCCTTATGAAAATGAAAGGAAATGTGATCAGTCTGGAGAATCTGTTCAAGTGTTTCTAAAGGTAGAAAACTTGATTAAATGTTCTTAATCCTTGATACATCTTAGTCCAAAATAACTGACTGATTCACTTCAATTCGATTCAGCTTATTTCTATAGCGCCAGACTGGAAAAATCTAGATAAGTCGTTTTTTTCTTAAAATAAGTGCATATGGATTGTACATATTTTTATTTCTTATTACTTTATTTCTTATTTTTATTTTGTTTTTCATTGTTTGCGATACAGGTACACTTGCACCTTAATCCTTACTTACCTTATTTACCTCGATATACTCTATATACCCAGATATACTATATATATATATATATATATATATATATATATATATATATATATATATATATATATATATATTTATTGTTTATTCTTAATGCACCTTTTCCTCCTTGTTTGCACTTTCTTTGACTTCTATGGCAATATGTGAAAAGTGAATTTCTCCGCTGTGAGATCAATAAAGCTCATCTGATCTAATCTAATCTAATCTAATCTAATCTAATCTAATCTAATTTGTTCTTGGTTTTAGGAGGTAAAGGATACATTTTGCCAATAGAACGAGACAACTTACATCTAAAATAAGAAACCACAATTGCATTGTCTTATTCCAAGTGCATTTTATCTAATTACCTTATTTTAAGAGTAAAAATACTCATTCCATTGGCAACCTATCTCAGTTACCTACTCAAATTAAAGGTAAATACACTTCATTTAAGACATTTTTACTTATTTCTAGATCGTTTTTCCAGTGCAATTCACAACACGTCATCTCAAGGCACTTTCCAGTCCACCAGATCATCCAGTCAGATTAATTCTAAGTTTTCTATCTAAGGAAAACCAGCTGATTGCATCGACTCATTGACTCTTCAGCAATCCCTCACACTAAGCATGCTTGTAGTGACAGTGGAGAAGAAAAACTCCCTTTTAACAGTCTGACTGGACTTTTCCTTTAAGACATGGACTATTAGCAAAAGGCATTATATGTGAAAAGTACTGCAAAGAAAAAAATGAGGCTAGTAAAAAGAAAAAATAGGTTACCACACGAACACACAGAAAACATGCCGCAGATGCAAAAACAACTGCAAGTTAAGAAAAGCTTTAAACAAGCTCAGCATAACAGGCGTTCCTGCAACTGCTGGGGGGAAACAATCATCCACTCATACTCTGCAAAAGAATGAAATCTGAATAAGTGCATTTTTTCTTGAATTGAGGGAGTAAGTGAGACACTTTGCTGATAGAACAAGATAATTTAAATTTAAAATAAAAAAAAAATGCATTGTCTTATTTCAAGTGCATATTGTCTAATGTACACTTATATCCGATTTTAAGGGTAAAAATATTAATTCCATTGGTAAATAATCTTATTTACCTGCTCAAATTAAGGCTAAATACACTTAATATAAAAAATGTGCACTTATTTCTAGATTGTTTTTGTTCTGTATAGGACCAGAAAATAACATTTTCTGGACCAGACAAAGACATTACTATAACTACACTGCTAAAAACGTAAATCTACATAGTAATTTTTTCTTAAAATAAGTGCATTTTTACTTTGATTGAGGAGAAAAGTTTGACATTTTGCCAACGGAACAAGACAATTTACATTTAAAATAAGAAAAAAACAATTGCATTGTCTTATTTCAAGTGCATAATATCTAATTACCTTATTTTAAGTGTAAAATACTCATTCCATTGGCAAATTATCCCATTGACCTATTCAAATCAAGGGTAAATACACTTAATTTAAGAAATGTTTACTTATTTCTAGATAGTTTTTCCAGTGTAATTTCTATGAACCAGACCCTTAGCAATAATTTAAACAGGAGGCCCGACCAAAAAACATTTGGAGGGACAAAAAAAGGAGCATCTGTTATGTGAGGCTGGTTTGCAGCTTTTTTACTCTCAGTTTTTGTTTTTTTTTACTACTGCAACTTTTCCCTTTGCAAGCATTTTGTGTGTTAGTATCATTTATGTGTTTGCAGTGGGCTTTGTATTGACTAGTTTGCACATATGCACTGTGCTGCTCTCTGTTTTCAGTGATTGCAACATCACACGTTTGCAGGTGTTCTGTGTATTTGTGTATTTTTCAAATTCACAGCTCTTTCATATACATGCAGGACTTTTACAGCTCCTGGCCACCATAGAAACGATGTTCTTCCTGAGAACACCAGAGAATTTAGTGTTTTTACTGTTTTATATGGAGCAGCAACAAGTGTGGCTGTGGGAAAGAATACTGACTTTTAATTTGTACAAGGCCTTTCTGGGTTAAATCCTGTGAACCTCCATCTCAGCATGATAGACTTTGTATTCTCACCGATGGCTGCAGCTCCGTGTCGTCCAAAAACGTGACTCCTAATTGGACAGAGAGAGATTACAGCCACAAGCATTTAATAAGTGTGAGAACCGACTCTCAGCTGAATTAACTCATTTCTGAAAACATGAAGTAAATCTCTGCAGGCAGAGTGAACTTTTTTCTCTTAGCTGTGCTCACTGACCAGACCAGTCTCCATTAAATTCACTCAGTAATTAATGAGATATTCTCTGATGTGTGCACTCCGTAATGTGTCACATTCATTACCCCTCAGTCCTTTCTGAAATGGATGAATTCACAGAAGATGTGCATCCAAAGATGAGCCATGCAAGATGAATCATTTCCCAATATCACCACATAAATAATGGACGGGATTATATTTACTGTCAGGAAATATGCTGGTTTATGAATATAATTTCACTCTTCATTTGCTCTGAACATTGAAAACATTCAAATCAGATGGTAGCAGGTGTATGAGCTGCTGATGGGCGTCAAGAAGCCCCAATGAGCAATATGACACCGCCGTCTATTTCATTATTCAGGATTAGGTACCGAGGGAAAACAATATTGGCCTGGATCATAAAGATCAATCGCATTATTCTGATATAAGCACAGAATAACTGCTGTTTTGTCTGACAGCAAAAAAAATTGCTACTGTTGGAAAAAGACTCTATAAAATGCAAGAATTTGAAATGTTTTCAATTCAATTCAGTTTATTTCTATAGCGCCAATTCAAAGCACATGTTATCTTAATGATGCAGAGACAATTCAAACAGATCATCCAGTCAGATTGGTTCAAAATGTTCTATCTAAGGAAAACCAGCTGATTGCATCGACTCATTTTCTCTAAAGCAGACGTCACAGATCAATGTTCGGATCCTGCTGGCTAATCCGGACCCAACCTGATTTAAAACATTTATAAATTACTGCATGTTGTCTAACGATAGTGTCTAAATTCACCTGCCCCTCTTCTCCTGTTAATACGGTAAAGCCCTCCGGAGCGTCCGGCTCCAGGCTGCACGTGATCCAAATGATCCACACTGGAAAAAATCTAAATCTAGATAAGTCATTTTTTCTTAAAATAAGTGCATTTGTTCTTGGATTGAGGAGGTAAAAGAGACATTTTGCCAATAGAACATGATAATTTACTCTTAAAATAAGAAAAAAAAAGATTACATAGTCTTATTTCAAGTGCATAGTATCTACTTATCTTATTTTAAGAGTAAAAATACTCATTCCATTGGCAAACTATCTCATTAACATACTCAAATTAAGGGTATATACACCTAATTTAAGAAAAGTTTACTTATCTTAGGATAGTTTTTCTAGTGCAATGAGCTGTCAGTCTGGGCTGCTTCTGCACTGCAAAAACAATCTGAAATTAAGTAAAAATTTCTTAAATCAAGTGTATTTACCCTTAATTTGAACAGGTAAATAAGATAGTTTGCCAATGGGATGAGTATTTTTACACTTAAAATAAGTTAATTAGATAATATGCACTTGAAATAATACAATGCACTTGATTTTTCTTATTTCAAATGTAAATTGTCTTGTTCCATTGGCAAAGTCTCTCATTTATCTCCTCAAATCAGGATAAATTGCACTTATTTTAAGAAAAAATTACTTATTTAGATTTACATTTTTTGCAGTGTGCTGCTACTTTTAGACACAGCAGGCAAACCTGTGGCAAGCCGGGCGATGGGAAAGAAGGAGAAGACCATGAGAAAAAGAGAGCAGAGAAAGTGTGGACTGCTGGAAGAACTGCGGTGAACTGGTGAAAGAAAAGTGAAATGGCGTGCTCAAAGATGACCCTGCACATTTAGAGGATGTTTGGCTCAACCTGCTGCTGTGAAGCAGGATTCTCCACCATGAACAGAATCAAAAATAAAAGCTTTGGGGATGGAATTAGAGCAGTGCCCTTCAGCTAAGAACAAAGTGTAATATTGGATACCTTTTTATAGTAGATTTTTATAGCTGTGTTTAAAGATATTGATGTGGTTTGCACTTCAGGGCCACATGAGATAAAAATAAGGTCCATTAAAAAAAAAATCCTCTCCATCAACATCCCCTAAGTGAAGTTTTTCCCCTTTCAAACCTACAGGAAGTGTAGCGAAGTGCTTTGGGGCAGTTTGAAGCCTGCGTTTACTTCCTGGTTCCTGACCCAATCATGAGAGTTCCCAGGCGGGGCCGGCCCTACCTATAATCAAAACAGACGCTGTGCGTAGGGATTCCTTTTTCACACAGTACCGGATATGTGCCTCCCTTCCGCATAAATTACCGTATTTTCTGGACTATAAGCTGCTAATTTCTTCCAACCCTTTGAACCAGATCAACTGAACACTGGAAAAACAATCTAGAAATAAGTCAGAATTTTTCAAATTATGTGCATTTACCCTTAATTTTAGTAGGTAAGTGAGATAGTTCGCCAATGGAATGAATGCTTTTACTCTTAAAATAAGATATTAAGATAAAATGCACTTGAAATAAGACAATGCGATTGTGTTTTTTTATTTTAAATGAAATTTGTCTTGTTCCACTGGCAAAGTGGATCTTTTTCCTCCTCAATCCAAGAAAAATTGCACTTATTTTAAGAAATTATGACATATCTAGATTTAGATTTTTTCCAGTGATGAGGATTTTTTAAATCTGTGAATATTTTTGCTTTGTTTATGTTGTGAACTTAAGAACATCTAAGCTTTAAGTTGAGTTTTTTTTTTGGTCGGAAAATAAGCTCACTTTATTTGTCTAAGTTCCTTTTGTCTTTTCTCCCAAAAAAATCTTTTTTAACATGTCTGCAATGAGCTTAATGAAACCACATGGAGGAGCTGGCAGAGCGCCACAAGCTGACCCAGTAGAGCCCCTCACATTAGCTGAGCAGTAAGGAGAAGACCTGACACCAGGCGGAGGCCTGCTGGCGGTTTGATGCATCCTTGAACTCTCCTTTCACTGCAGGAATGACAGCTTCTGTGTGAAAGAACAGACACAGCAAAGCTGAGGGGAAGAAGCAAAACCTGCTCTTAGGAACATTTTAAAGTCGCTCTATATCAGGTCAGAGTCAAAAACAGACACATGTTAAAATTGATTTTTTTATATATATATTTTTTTTAATGATGAAAATGAGCCAGTAGGAGCAAATAGTTGGTTCAGTTTGCAGAGATGTAATGGACACATTTTTTGTATAAACTGTGCAACAGAGCAAGCCCTTTGCAGAATTCAGACATTCAATGTAAAGGCGTAAATATGTCAGTCAGTTTTTATAATAAAATAATCAGAATCAGAAATACTTTAATAATCCCAGAGGGAAATTACTTTTGTTACACGCTCCAGTTACAGTTTTATATAATATATACACACATCCAACTACACAATATAATAAAGATAAAAATAAGAATAAAAAGAGATAAAATATATACACATATAGCTGTTCTTTATATATATATGTACGTTTATCTATGCATATGTAAAAACTAAATCCAAATAAAGTTATAAATCCAAGTAAAGTGATACGTGGCGTGCAAAAATAGTGCATAAATGTCAGTTACGGGGGGGGGGTCAGAATCACTTGAGCACTGGAAAAAAAAAATCTAGATAAGTAATTTTTTCTTTAAATAAGTGCATTGTTCTTGAATTGAGGAGGTATAATTGACATTTTGCCAATGGAACAAGACAATTTACATTTAAATTAAGAAAACACAATTGTGTGTTCCTATTTCAAGTGCATTTTATGTAACTATCTTATTTTAAGAGTAAAAATTTTCATTCCAGTGGCAGATCATTAAATGTACCTACTCAAATTAAGGGTAAATACACTTAATTTAAGACATTTTTACATATTTCTAGATCGTTTTTCCAGTAAGGGAGGCGTTATACACTGCAAAAACGATCTGCAAACGAGTAAAAATGTCTTTAAATTAGTGTATTTAGCATAATTCAAGCAAGTAAATAATAAGATTTGCCAATGTAATGAGTATTTTTACTCTTAAAATAAGATAATTAGATAATATTCACTTGGAATAAGACAACGCAATTGTTTTTTCTTATTTTAGATGTAAATTGCCTTATGCCATTGGCAAAGTGTATCACTTAACTGCTTAATTCAAGAAAGAAATGCTCTTTTTAAAATAAAAATAAACTTACTTAGATTTCAATTTTTTTGCAGTGTAGAGATTGATGACCACAGGAAGGAATGATTTCCTTTGGCGCTCTGTGGTGCATCTGGGTAAGAGGACTCTTCTGCTGAAAATAAGGGCATTGTCTCTGTTAATGGAATAAAATAATTTATGTTGAAAATAAGCAATAAGAAAACTCAATTATCTTCTTTTAAAGGGAGAAATACTCCTTCCAATGGCAGATCTACTGATTTATCTGATCAAATTAAGGGCAAATATGCTTATTTTAAGAAATGTTTTACTTATTTCTAGATCAGTTTTAGGAGGGTGGCAGCAGATTAGGTTAATAGCAGGAGTGATTCTAGGACCAGAGGTTTAGAGGTGCTGAGCACCCAGCGAGCTGTCTGGCCAGACAAGATTAAATCCCAAGTTTGCTACACATATTTTTGAAACTTGCTCAGTGCGTTTTGCTAATGACGGATCCATCATTCACTGATGCATAATATCTGAGACGTTTACCAAAAACCCAACAAGCAAAGAAAAAAGCAGAATTTTTTAGAGAAATATTCCAACCAGTTAAAGTCGTAGGGAAGCGGCCGTTCCAAACGTTGCATTTCTGAATTCTCCCGAGTGGTGCCCGACTTTACATGAGTGAATAAAGTGAATGTGATTGGTCGTTTATAAAAGGGGGCGGGATTGTTGTGGCGGAAGGTTCACAAGCAAGTTTGGTTGTGGCCGGTTTGTCGGAAGCATCTTGCTAACCAGTTAGCAACTTAGTGCTAGCAGGTTCCCAATGGGAAATTCCATTGGGACCCAGTAGCACTAAATTGGTGACTTAGAAACGACGCTGTCAAGGAACGCTATGGACAGCGGAAACATGCAAGAGGAGGAGAGTTTAGTGTCGGAGGTCGTGGATGAGTCTCCTCCGTCATCCATTTTTTATTTAGAGGAGGAAAGCGGGGACGAAGATGTTGTGGAAGAGGACGCCAGGGTGGCAGAAGCTTGGTTTGGTGTAGAAGGCTTCCAGCCGTACATGTTTGAGCCCTTGCCTCGCAACGCTGCCAGTTCTGTTAGCTCTACGCCTGCCGAAGACACAGACGTCCATCCCCGTGAACACTGGGACGCAACTCAATGGGAGAGGAAAGGATTCTGATTTCAACCGTTGCGTATATTAGCTGCGACACATGAATCAAGATGCTTTGACCAAAAACATTTGATTGACAGATGACCGTTGATATCTGATTGGCCGAATTTAGGTGTTCAGGCTGACGTAGAACTAACTGGCCTGCAGAAGATAAAGGAAAAACCCCCCACAGATTTTAAGACAGGATTTTTTGTTTTTATAGAAATTTTTATAGAAACTTTGGGACAATATCATCTGATAAAGAGTATATTTATGTAAATGTGTTAGCCAGAATGATTCGACATTTAAATATGACTTCCCTTCGACTTTCATCTTCAAGGTCCTTTAATATTTCACAGACAGTTTTTTACTAAATTATCGTTTAGTAAATTTTTATTATCAGTTTGTCAATTTTGTGTCATTTGCTTTCATGGCAGGTTATGTTAATTTTCCCTCAGAACTGTATATTATACCTTTTTTGATGATAAATGTTTTCATGCGTTATTTTAATGAGAAGGCCAATTTTAAATCAGGCAGACTTCACATTAATACAGTTGTCAAAATAACAGATTCTAGTGAGTTATGAGTTTGAGGCGTGTGTCGAATAGTTGAGGGGGGGGGGGTTTCCACGAAGCGTTTGTCGAGGCTTGCTTCATTTGGGGGAGGAGCCAAACGTATGTCTCATAGTATAAATAACAAAAAAAACAGGCCTGAAAGTGGGAAGAAAACGTATTAAATCCCACCCCGATGCTCATTCATAGTAAGCATAATAATTGTGTAAGTATATATATATATATATATATATGTGTTGTGTCTTTACTCCAACATAATATAGCAAATAACGATTCAACTCCAGGTGAAAAGGAACGGAAACTTTACTTAGCTTTTTGGTAACGTTCACAGTTACATATCAATGCGCCGGCAAACAACCAATAGGCAAACTCAGTAGCTTGGGGAGTGCTTCCGCCAAAGTAAATAGATCCACCTTATATACTACACTCCTCCCCTTTTAGATTAATGCTACATAACATACAACACTGCCAATGCATCAACAAAATGTGTTACTCAATTGAAATACAAAGAAACACCTTTTTTTTGTTTTTTTTTTGTTTTTTTTTTATATATATATAAGTCCCGTAAGTGAACTTATAAATCCAATCTTTTCGGTAGTGCCCTGAGTTGTTCAGGGTTGCGCCTGGGAACTTGCGGAGTGCTCACTACAGGAGGCGCTTCTTCTGCAACTGTGGGTGCCACTGTACTGTGATCAGAATTGGTTCCAGGATCAGGTGGACATGTTGGTTGCTGCGGTGTGTTTGGTTGGGCATTCAACAGTAGATCCACATGACGTCTCCAGGTATGTTCACCCGTGTCCACCTCGTACATCAGAGGGCCGCTCCTTGTGACTATCTTCCCAGGCGTCCACTTGTCCCCTCGGTAGTCACGAGCCAGTACATGCTGTCCCACATCGAAGCTTCTTGCTGTTTCACCTGAAAAGTCACTGAACTGTTTGTTCTGCACGTCTCTCCTCAGGTTGGGCTTCAGAAGGTCCATACGAGATCTGAGCCGTCTGTTCACAAACAACATTGCAGGCGTCTGATTCGTTGTGGCATGGACAGAATTGCGGTACACCAGAAGGAAGTTGTCGATTTTGTGTTGAAGAGAGATGTCTTCTTTGATCATTGCTTTTATGGATTTTTTGAATGTTTGTACGAACCGTTCTGCTAAGCCATTTGTTGCTGGATGGTGAGGTGCTGACTTGAAGTGCTTGATACCATTCTTTCTCATGAACTCTTGAAACTCTTCAGAAGTATACTGTGGGCCGTTGTCACTCACAATTTGCTCAGGCAGGCCATTCCTGGCGAAGATGGTTCTCAGGACAGAAATAGTCTTTTCAGATGATGTTGATTTCATTGTGACTACTTCAGGCCATTTTGAGTGTGCGTCCACAGCTATGAGAAACATGGAGTTCATGAATGGACCAGCAAAATCAATGTGTACTCTCTGCCAGGGTGTAGACGGCCATTCCCATGGGTGTAGGGGAGCCTGTGGCGGCGCGTTTTGAATGCCCTGGCATCCTGGGCAGGTTTTGGTGATGTCCTCAATTTGTTTATCTATCCCAGGCCACCATACGTAGCTACGGGCCAGACTTTTCATCTTCAGCGTACCCACGTGACCCTCATGTAGACTGTCCAACACTCTGGTGCGAAGCTTGGAAGGTACTACCACCCGTGATCCACACATCAAGGTTCCCAGGCAGACTGACAGCTGATCACGTCTTGCTGAAAACTCCGGAAAACATGGATTCCCATGGGCAGGCCAACCTTGTAAGGTGATGTCATACACCTTGGAAAGTGTTGGGTCATTCCGCGTTTCTTTTCGTATCATGGCGTTTGTAACTGGCAACTGGTCTACCAGTGTTGTGTGGAACATTTCTGCAGGGTCACCCTTTTGTGATGGTTCATCCACAGGTGTTGAGAGTGAGAGGCGTGACAAGCCATCAGCATTGCAGTGTTGTTTAGTCCCCTTGAACTCAATGTCATACGAGTGTGCCCCTAAGAACAGGGCCCATCGCTGTAGTCGTGCGGCTGACATCACTGGGACTCCTTTCCTTGGATTAAATATTGATACTAGGGGCTGATGATCAGTCACTAAGGTAAACTTTCGGCCATAGAGGTACTGGTGGAACTTTTTAATACCCCATATTAGGCTAAGGGCCTCCCAGTCTATCTGTGCGTAATTGCGTTCGGCACTTGAGAGGGACCTTGAAGCGAATGCAATTGGGCGTTCAAGTCCATTATCCATTGTATGCGACAAGACTGCGCCAATGCCGTACGGGGACGCGTCACATGCTAGACGGATGGGTCTGGAGGGATCATAGTGGGTCAGAAGCTCGTCAGATGTCATCAGTCTTTTTGTTTCTGTGAATGCTTTTTCACATTTTTCTGACCAATCCCATTCCACTCCTTTCTGTAGTAGTGCATTTAATGGATGCAGCACCGAGGCAAGGTTCGGTAGGAACTTGTGGTAATAGTTGACGAGACCCAGATAGGATCTAAGTTGTGACACATTTTCAGGTTTAGGTGCTTTTAGCACCGCCTCGATCTTCTCTTGTGATTTATGCAGGCCATGCTTGTCGATTACATGACCGCAGTATGAGATTTTGGTTTTGAGAAACTCACACTTCTCTCTCTTTGCCCGTAGGCCACACTCATTCAGCCTAGTGAGTACTTTGCTCAGGTTCTGGAAGTGATCATCATCATCTTTTCCTGTTATGATAATATCATCCAGGTAGCATTGAGTTCTAGGTATGTCCTGGAGCACCTGATCCATGGCTCGTTGCCAGATGGCTGGGGCTGAAGCAGCACCAAACACAAGACGATTGTATTGATAAAGTCCCTTATGTGTGTTGATGGTCAGGAACCTTTTGCTTGACTCCTCTACTTCCATCTGGAGATAAGCCTGTGATAAGTCAATCTTCGAAAACTTCTCCCCACCAGCCAATGATGAGAAGATATCTTCAATTCGTGGCAGGGGGTACTGCACTGTGCGCAGCACCGGGTTGATGCTCACCTTGAAGTCCCCACATATTCGCACTTCACTTTTGCCTTTCTTCATTACGGGGACAATGGGCGTAGCCCAGTCACTCCAGTCAACTTTTGAGAGAATGCCAGATTCCTCCAGGTTCTGTAGTTCGGCGTCTATCTTGGGACGTAATGCATATGGCACCGGGCGCGCTTTGTGGAATCTTGAGTTGGCATCTTTGTCAAGTTCGATTTTTGCTTTCAAGTGTTTCAGTTTTCCAATGCCTTTCTCAAACACTTTTGCATTAGCCTCCAATAACTGTGACAGTCTCTGTTCTGGTCTGTAGGTTGCGCTCTTGAAGCCTGTTGAGATATTCAGGGCTTTTATTGAATGCCAATCAAGCTGAATTTTTCTCAGCCATTCACGTCCTAGTAGTGCTGGGCCTGAGGTTTTCAGTACATAAAGCTCTAACTTATGTGATTGGTCACCGTATACAACATCCACATTAAGTTTCCCTTTTGGGGACACTTTTTCACCTGTATACGTTTTTAACATCACTGATGTCTTTTTTAGTGGTAAGCTGGAGAATAGTCTGTCATAGTCAGCCTCAGAGATCACAGACAAGGCTGAACCTGTGTCCAGTTCCATTTTTAGTTTTACACCAGACACTGTTGTTGTGACCCATATTATTTTTCGGTCTTCTTCAGTTATGCTGTGCAGCTCTAAGCATGACAGGTCATCTTCCTCACTGCTGTTTGTGTTGTCTGAATGTTCTGGTACTTTATGCATTTCATTTGCTTTGTCCCTTGCTTTAGGTTTAAACCCTTTGTTCTTCACAGATTTTTCTTTTTGGGCATTAGTTTGGTCTGATCTGCATGCTCTTTCTATGTGGCCTTGTTTATGGCATTTCCTACATGTCTTTTCTTTGAACCAGCACTCGTTTGCATTGTGCGAGGATTTACCACACCTGTAGCATTTTTGCTTTTTTCCATTTAAGGACATGCGATGCATTTCGTTTTCTAATGTTTTCTTCTGTAGCTCTGATGCACCCTTCGCTGCTGTTTCCATTGAGATAGCTAGTTCGAGGGCTTTTTTCAAATCTAGCTCTTTTTCCGACAGTAGCCTTTTTTGCGTGCTTGTACAGTGAATGCCACAAACTAAACGATCTCTCAAGGCATCCCCAAGTCCATCTTTAAAATCACAATGTTGTGATAGCTTGCGCAGCTCGGCCATATACTCAGATATGCTTTCATCCTTTGTTTGATTTCTCTTATGAAATCTGAATCTTTCTGGTATCACTAGTGGTGCGGGATTTAAGTGCTTCTGCAGCGTGTCCACAATGTCTTTATATGACTTGCTTGACGGTTTATCGGGGCTCAGGAGATTACGTAGTAGACTGTAAGTTTTGGCTCCCATTAAACTGAGGAGGACGGAACTTCTTTTCTCGTCATCAACATCATTAGCGTTGCAGTACAACTCCACTCGCTCTATGTATGATTCCCAGTCTTCACTTGCGCTATCAAACTCCTCTACTTTTCCCACGTAGGCCATTTCGAACATGCAATTCTGATGTTATCCGCGTATCCTTTCACTGTGTGCAATGCACTGTTACTCACGGATCCTTTAAGTTTCGTTTTCGTTCCTTTCTTTCTCCTTCCCTCCGGTTTAAACCCTCCTTTCGTGCCGTGGTTTAGGGTCCAGATTACTCGTCGCCAATTTGTTGTGTCTTTACTCCAACATAATATAGCAAATAACGATTCAACTCGAGGTGAAAAAGAACGGAAACTTTACTTAGCTTTTTGGTAACGTTCACAGTTACATATCAATGCGCCGGCAAACAACCAATAGGCAAACTCAGTAGCTTGGGGAGTGCTTCCGCCAAAGTAAATAGATCCACCTTATATACTACGATATGTATGTATCCAGATATTTTTTTTTCTTCACTACTGAATGTTTTAATACATACAGTATTAAAAAAAACTCATATTTTAGGGGTGCTTTGATTAAAATTGAGGTTGCTACAGCACCCCTTAAATAGGCTAAAAACGCCAAAGGTTAATAGAAGTAGAAAATAATGCTGCGACACTCTGATGCTACCGAGTTTAAACCTGAACACAGATCAATACTCTGATTAAAAGCGTCCAGAACTGAGCCAGTGTCTCCGCTCAGATAAACCAGCTGACAGATGGTTCTGCTGCTGACGCCCCGCATTCATCTTACTGCTTTAGATTCTGGCTACATTTCAAATTACTTTCATTGTTCTTGTCCCTTTTTTTCATGAACGGTCAGAAAAAAAACTAATTTCCCTGAAACAAAGTCCATGTTTAGCTAATTCAGCTGAAAACAGAATTTGATCTAAAGAGAATTCATTAGGAATGTAAGTCCACAGCCTTGCGTTTGATTCCCTCAGACATTAATTGGTTCCATTTAAACACAGCTGTGATTAAAGAGCATCGCATTTAATCAATAAACAGCGCATCTTCTATTTAATGCCACTTTAGTCAGGGTTAAATTAATGAATGCATAAATGTCACGACAAGTAATTAACTTGATATTTAATAAAATATAAATGATTCACTATACGACTCACTACAGTTAATGCATCCTGTTTGTTTATATGAAATATATATATATATATATATATATATATATATATATATATATTATATATATATATATATATATATATATATATATATATATATATATATATATATATTGCATTTAGATGTTTTATCATTTTAATGAGTTTTTTAATGACTTTCTGAGAACATCTAAAATCTTTTTTGACTGCTTTTTGCTTATGAGAACAGTGCTTTGCATATTGACGCTTCAGAATGGTGTGCATCTAAAAAAAAAAGATTAAATTCAATATTGATTTTTTGCTAATATGAATAAATTATCTTCTCCATTCCATGTTTTTGACAACACGAAACTGTAAGGTCCAAAAAATTGATTCAAGTACATCAAAGTCTCGCTTCGGCATCGATTAACATCATGATTTATGTCGCCATGCTTCACCACCATCCAGTAAACTCAGCGCGTATCATCACAGGCACGGAGTTACTCGGGTAAATTTCAGAGAATAATTACAGCTTAGTTACATTTAATTTGCTCTGGATTATTTCAAAGCTTGATGGATTTCTAAATAAATCAAATAAGGCGTTTGGTTTAAGACGTTTGGCTAAGTGAAACCAACCTGTGATCCGACAAGGCCGTTTAGATCGCTCTGGGAAAAGACGGTTACACTGCAAAAACGATCTAAAAATGAGTAAAAATGGACAATATTAAGTGTATTTACCCTTAATTAGAGCAGGTAAAATAGACGATTTGCCAATGGAATAAGTATTTTTACTCTTAAAATAAGATAATTAGATAATATACACTTGTAATAGGGCAATATAATTGTTTTATTCTTATTTTAAATTTAGATTGTCTTGTTCCATTGGCAAAGTGTCTCACTTACCTCCTTAGTTCAAGAAAAAATTCACTTATTTTAAGAAAAAACTCACTTATTGAGATTTGAATTTTTTGCAGTGTAGAAGGACAAGGTTTAAAGCTGAGGGATGTGAACTTTCTTTACATCAGAGGAAATGAAAATGGATAGAAAGCAGGCAAAGCCCAAAACAACATACACCTTCAAGAGGTCGAAGAAGTCATTTTACACTGCAAAAATGATCTAGACATAAGTACAAATGTCTTAAATCATGTGTATTTACCCTTAATTTTATTAGTTAAATGGAATAATTTGCCAGTGGAATGAGTATTTTACTCTTAAAATAAGATAATTAGATAATATGCACTTGCAATAAGACAATGCAATTGCTTGTTCTTATTTTAAATGTAAATAGTCTTGTCCCATTGGCAAAGTGTCTCACTTACCACCTCAATTCAATTCAATTCAATTCAATTCAATGCTAATTTAGATTTCAATTTTTGCAGTGTAGCTTAGTTTTTAGCATGTTGAGAGAATCAAGTTTAAATATTCTGTGTTGTCCAGAGTTAAAATGATCCAGAGCAGCTCATTAGGGGACAGGGAATGTGGAGGGGAGATAAAGAAGATCTGGTTTCAGCGCAGACATTTTGAGAGGTAATAATAAACGGGTTTAATCATTGGAAGAGGAGTCTCTGAAGTTCATTTTAAATACACGCCTCTGCCCACAGCTAATCAAGATGTGTGGGATCCCCGGCGGAGGAGAAATAAAAATAAAAATGAGATTTGTTGTTTTATTTCGAGAGCAAAATACCCAATGCAGTATCTCCTTTATTAGCAGAGTGAAAATGTGTCAATGACTGCTCCCAGAATGCATGTGTGGAGATGGGAGAGAGTGTTTGGAGATATGCATATGTTTGTTTCTGCAAATAGAGTTAAAGATAAAGTTGTTGGAATTGATAATAATGTTTATATTAGTTCAGAACCTCTTTTCTCTCTTCTTATACCATGGTGTCGGGTTCCATCGATTCATTTGTTTTACTTTTCTATGTTTTCTCTTATTTCTATTTGGGGCATTATGTTTTTTTTTTTAAGCAATCATTTTCTGTTTAGAGTTTTTTTTTTTCTTTGCTAGATTTTTAATTTTTTACCTTTTAATTTCATGTTTTGGTTTTGCCTTAATCCTCTCATTACCCACCCCAAGGAGGTTGTGTTTTAGGCACTGTTGGGCATGTTACTTTGAAAAAGTAATTAGTTATAGTTACTAGTTACTTCTCCCAAAAAGTAACTGAGTTAGTAACTGAGTTACTCCACAATAAAAGTAACTAGTTACTAGTAAAGGCAACTATTGCGTTACTTTTGCGTTTCTCGCCCCCGTAACCCTCCCCACCCGGCCCCCACCTTATCGTGGTGTGTTTCCAAAGCCAGCTGAATAGAGCGGACGACAAAGACAAGAACCTGCAGAGAGTTTAGCATTTATTGCAACTCAACGTAAATGACATCAGGGGGCAACGCCATGGGAAGTTTTTTAACAGGGCATTCAGATCTGGTGAGTGAATGAAATTAATAACTGGGGATGTCTAATTCTGAAATCCTGTGTGTTTGGGTTGTTATAGATACTGCAACATCTATCTATCCATCTATCTATCTAGATCTATACTCTGTGAGTGACATAAAATATGGATCTCCATCCCTGCCACAAAGGCCATCAAATTATGTTTAAAATAAAAAATACAGTAGGTTGAAAAGGCAGAGTATCCATCCATCCATCCATCCATCCATCCATCCATCCATCCATCCATGCATCCAACTCGTGCCATTTGAAATATCAATGCAATGTTCATAAGCTGTATGTAACGCAATTTCGTTCTGTATGCACTCTGTGCATACAAAATGACAAATAAAGGAGTCTAAGTCCATCCATCCATCCAGATTTCTCCCTTTCTCCATCTAGGCTATCATTTGATCGTTCACGCTCTCCATAGTTCTCCTGTGGCGCGAGCAAAGGGCGACTGTTATGCACCTTTAGCGAGCATGCGCGTTTCCTGTCGCTTCTCGGTCAATCGTGCCGCCTGCGCTGTGCGGAGATGCAGGGGAAACCGTATCTGATGGGGAAACGCAGCTCGAAGTAACACCGGTATTTCCATCAGGAAAACGCTGTTTTGCTGCTGGAGTCCTCCTCACTCTCCATCTCTCTGTGTGTGCTGTACGTTAACACCCGCCAGCGGAAACACCCACCTACCCAACTGACAGACGGAATCTCACTATACATCAGCCATTCTCATCCTCCCCTCTCTCATGACAAGGCGCGCACGAGTCCTATCATGAAAAAAGGTTCATTGTGCGACCTGAGTAACGCGCAGTAACGGGGTGTCTGCAATGGTAACTGCCTTATAGTTACAGTCAAAGTAATTAGTTAGATTACTAGTTACTAAAACAAGGTAACAGCGTTAGTAACGCTGTTACTTTCAACGCCGTTAGTCCCATCACTGGTAAGTTTGTGTGTCTTTCATGAAATTTTTAGCAAAGGTGAACCTCAGTTCAGGGAACAATCCATTACATTTTGGCCATGATCCATATCTTAATCCAGAATCTTTTTAACAATTCTGTAACATTTGGTGGAACAAGCCGTTCTTCCCTAAACCAGAGGGTGGCATTTGCTATTGACAACTTCAGCATCAGACTCAAGAAATTCTGTCATGACCTTGGCACCGATGACTCGCTTAATTACTCATTCCGTTCACCTGTATAACTCTGACCAGTTTCTCATCACTGCTCATCTGATCCACCTGCTCCTGCCTCTATTTAAGGAGCTTGCTTCCAGTCATCAGGGCCAGATTAATCTTGTTCTCTGGAAACCAGTGGTTAGAGTGTTTTTAGAGTTTCTTGGTGTTTCTGATTTCCTGATCCTGACCTGTTCTGCCTCTCAACTAGAGACCGACACGGGAGTGGATTTTCAATCCTGTCCCGTCCCACTCCCACAGAAAAAAATGGTGTCCCGTCCCGATCCCGGGCCAGAGTAGAAATCTAAATTCTGTCCCGTCCCACTCCTGGTGAAATTACTCCCGCTCCCATTCAGAATGACTCCCGTTCCTGCACCACTCCCATTCAGCTTGCG